ATACATTTTAAATTTGTATTATTTGATAATGATAATTATTAAATGTAATAATAAATATTTAAACTTGAAACTCTCTAAACTAGTTAATTCTATATAGAGCAAATTTTTCTTTATATTACTTATTTTTATAGAAAATAAGATTAAATCTATTGTCTCTAAATTAATTATTAAGAATGTAATTCCAATATTCACTAGTACTAATAGTAAATGTAATTTCACAGAATATTGTTTCCTAACATGGGACCGATTTCATTAATGGACAGGAGATAATGATAAAAGTTCATATAAACGTGTCTCCTTTGTTTTCAAGTTATATAAGTTATATTTATAATTATAGTAATATGGAGCTGATTGTCTTTATAAGAAATGTTCAAAATAATCACCTTCGGCTTGTATGCAAGCATGCAGTCATCGCCGTGTAGATTGTCATGCATTTTCAAAAATGTTTGATATTTGAATTTGTTGACAGCAATTTTTTTAATGAAGAATTTCTTAACAAATGGATAAATCGTGCAGAACTTATTGGCTGGCGTCCCTCAGAATTAAATCTACTAGATTTTTGTTTGTGGGGATACTTGAAAACTGTTGTTTATTCTGATTCCTGCATTGACAGCATTGAAATACTTCGTCACATATAAGACTGCCAATAATTAACAAATTCGACAAATACTCGGTATTTTTGAAAATGTGCGATAATTCATATGGTGACGACTGCATGTTTGTAGGGATCGAAGGTCATTATTTTAAGTACATCTTATAAAGGTAAGCAACTGAATACAAACAGCAATCAGAATACAAATATAACTAATATAATTCGGAAACAAAGACAAATGAGGCACATGTTTATTTTATCATTATCTCTGTATTTCCTATCCACCAGTGAAGTGGTCCAATACGTTTAATATCATGTATATGTAATGTGAATTATAGGTACATTTTCCATACTAATAATGACTGTAACCTAAGAGATATAAAATGCAAAATATTTTTCAAAAAATAAATTAAAAATATACTATAAAATAAGAAAATAAAATATAAAAAAGAAGTTTGCGTGTGGCTGGATATACAGGATCCGCCCAAAATTCAGGACCACTTAAATAATTTCTGAATGGTTCGAGATATTGGATTGAAATTTATAGGGTTACAATGGCAAAATGTAATCTATCATTTAACCTTGAAAACACCCACTTCAATTTTCCGAGGGATGCGGTGGGGCGGGGGGAGGGAGGTTAAAAATCTTAAATGGCATGTGAGGTCGAGTAAGAACTCGTTTAAAAGGGATTTCTGAAACAAGAAGAACGCACCTCTGTGAAGTTAGCACCTCATTTTTTAAAAAGTAAATTTTTCGATACAGTTCTGAGTGCACCCCAAAGAGTTCCAGAGTTCCTGCATAAAATTAAAAATAGTTCCGGCGAATTAAGCA